GCCTCCACGGCGGTGTGGAGTCGAACTTCCTACTCTACCAGATACTCGATGCGCCGGCGGATCAAGGTGGCAAGCCATCGAACGAGACGGCGCTGGCGGTGTATGAAGGCTTGGCGGAAGAGAAGGGCGTGGTAGTGCGGTTCAGAGGCAAGGAGCACGGATGTCTTGGCTGCTTGAGGATAACGGTGGGTACGGATAAGGAGGTTGATAGATTCTTGCAGGAGATCAGGCAGGTGATTGAGGGTATTCACCAGAGCTCGGGCAAGCTGGGGAAGAAAGAGGAGCAAAGGAGAGAGAAGGAGGCTAATGATGTGGTTGCATAAAGTATTGGCAGGTAATAGAACTGTACATCAAGAGACGGTATCATCTAAGCAATACAACATCTTCCAGCTGTTGAGGTAAAGGCAGCTTCGTGACAACCGCCCCACTCTGACTCTACAGCTTTCTTGTTATAAGTGCTTCGATATCTTACTTACTCCTTCTCTCACTTCTTCTTCGTGGTCTACTACCCACAGCTACTAATCCTAGGTCACGACCAAGCCGTCTATCGATTGGCTATCTCTTTGTTAGACACCTAGACGGTCCAATACACAATGGCGGATAGAATCGACGCGACAAACTTGGAGGCAGAGTTCCAGGCCCTGAAGATCAAGGGCAGACTCTTGCAGAGAACTCTGGCTGTGAGTATCAACTGATCGACTCACGTTGTACGAGATATACTGATTCTTGAGCAGGACGTGTCTTCGGACTACGGGGCTTTCATGAAGCAGTACAACGAGACAAACGACCGCATGCTCTCAGACAGTACCAAGTTGCGAGACACAGAGAGGAGTCCTAGTGGTGGAACTCAGAACGCGAATGCCATCGTCGTAATGCTGATCGATGCATCTAGCCATAAGGTATGCTGTGCTAGTCAATGTTCCACTGATGATACTGACATGCATCTAGTTCTGTAACGACTTGCTCAAGAAGAGGGGTCCAGGAGGTGCTGAAGCAGCAAAGCTTCTGCGTAGTGCACTAAACGAAAGGATAGCTACCAGACATCCTGAAATCGCACGCAACAAATACTGCTTGGTCATCCGAATATTCGCCGACTTGAAAATTCTCTCGATGAACAAATCTGACTTTGGCACCACCACGTTACTGGCACAGTTCTTCACTGAGTTCGAGAAGGTTGGCGCCTTCTTCGACCTTGTGGTCACAGCCGATGACCATGGCATCAAGAGCAAGATCTGCGGTCAGTCAACTTGATCGCTTAGCATTTCTATGCGCAGTCTGACCATTTCCAGATAATGTCAAACTGTACATGGCGAGTGAGCAGTGCAAGCATGTCTTCCTGGCTGCTGCGGGATCATCTCGTTATCACCAAGTCCTTGAGCCTTATCGGAAGCAGATTTCCAAGATTACGCCGATCTTTGGAAGTGGCCTGGACGGCAAATTGCGGCAGCTGGGACTACATTTGGTGTCGTTCCCGTCGGTCTTCGTAGCACCGCCAGGTATCAAGACACAGTCAAGCAGCAATATCAGTGGTGGTACACGTGAAGAGGCACGCGAGATCAAGACCGATACTGTAAGAGCTTCCATCATGTGATTGAATCTTGACTAACACTGTTGTAGGTCGCAACCCAAGTAGAGGATAGCGTAGCCAATGAGAAGCTCATGGATGTTGACGGCACTGACAAAGCTTTGTGGTCACCTCTCTTCTCCTTTCAACTTCCGTCCTGCTACATCGGCGGTCGCATCCCAATCAACAGCGCAAAGCAGCGGATCGACATCTATGTACGGATGCCAACATCCAAAGAATTCAAGATGTACGACACGCGTTCCAAGGTCCAACAAAACCTCTGCGTCGACTACTTCCTGCGCAACAAGTGCGAAAACGTCAACTGCGAGTTCTATCACGGTACCCTGGAACCGGAAGCACACTATGTTCTACAGCACATAATCCTGAGCACTGCATGCTCAAAGGGTAGCGTGTGCCGTGTTGCAAACTGTGCTTACGGTCACATTTGCCAGCGAGGCGAATGCGGTCGCGCGGGAAAGAGGGTTGAGGGATGTCGCTTGCCGGGCTCGATGCATGGGCTGGACACCAAGGTCGCTGAGTGGGTATCTCCGGATGAACACACTGTGCGTCCTTGTGTACCCGCCAAGGATAGTACCGCGTCAGGTGCTGGGGCTTACGCAGGTGGCGGTGTTGCTCTCTCTGTCGATGAAGATCTCCTTGGATAGAGTGGGTTATCCAAGGCACGCTTGACGTGTGCATGTCCAGGTGGGATAGTATCGGGAGGCTAGAAGGAAGCTCATAGCTAGACGTGGCAAGATCGGGATGGCAGGCTGAAAAGTTTTGGAAATCGATATCTAGCTACAGATTTCTTGAGGTTACTTAAGTGACGGAACTTATTAGAACGAAGCTCTTAAGATATCTGAATGCTGTCCGAACAGTGCACATGAAGGGATGCCAACTTTCTTCGCCGAGGCACAATTTCGCGCTAGTGAACCTTCCATCGCGAACAACACGCGTCCAGCCACCTCACTTTTCCGGACTCGTGTGCCAACGCCCACCCCGAATCACTTCCCTTGCTTCTGTCTGAGTGAATACCCGATCCGAAACCTTCACATGATCCTGGAGCACCCGCGATTGTCCGGTAGTGGTAAGCAAAATTCTAAAGATGCCTGCTGATGCCTTCTGGTGCCCGAACAGTATACCTAGGAAAGCATCGCACCACTGCGCACCTGCGCCAAAGGCGAGGTCGTTGAGGCTGTCAATGACGCATATGCCGAGGTGTGGAGTTGCTGTCAGGAGTGCTGAGAACAACTCAAGAGCTGCAGGCCAGCTTTCATCCGAACCGTCCAATCTACGTAGCGCGTCCTGAGACGCTTCGAAAGTGTCTCCGTCGAATTGGAATTGCAACAGCTGAGATATCAAGCTGTACACCAGCCCGATCAGCCCGACTTTCTCCAATTCTCGGTCCGCTACACGTGTCGCAGTCCGAGGTCTCTCGCAGAAATGCGAAATTGTCGGTAATCCCGCTTCCCACGCTGCAGCTAATATGTTCATCGCGAACGCGCGAGAGCTGGATATGCCACTATGCGACACTTCTGGGCCTGACACCCAGAGTGTAGAAGACCCGGCTTTTGCATCCTCCCAAGCCTGGTGTTTGCACATTCTTTGGACCTCAGATACCCAGCATTTGTTATCGACACAAAGCGAACGACCTTCGGTCCCTACACAGAAGTCCTTTAGACCAGGAACGAGGTACCTCGATTCTGTTCGATTTACCAAGCTGTCATCCAGCGCGGCTTGCCCTGGCGCCCTGGAATCATCAGTATGTGCGAGCTCCTCCTTTCTATGATCATTTCCTTCAGCCCCGAATTCGATACAAGACCTCTTGTGCCCACTTAAAAGCAAGTCATATGAGTTCCGTCCTATGTCATACAAGTCAGAGAGCTCCGAGTTTTGCTGTAGCTGAAGAAGCAAGCGTTCACCGCTTCGCTTCTGCTCCGCACTCATCACCAGCGAGTTGGCCAGTTCCGCAGTCTGCGCTACCCTATACATCATCGTCACTTCTCTCTCGATTTTTGCTCTCGCTTGTTCGTATCCTTGCTTTATCTTGTTGTTGAAACTCTTGAAAAAGCGGGCCGGTTGCGACTCCATATACCATTGCATAGCCTCGCGATAGAAGAGGAAGACTTGCGTGTAAAGTCTGGAATACAGTTCGCGCATCCGGCGTGTCTGCACCAACAGCACAAGATCTGCTGTATGAATTGCTATCTCGGTTATGTGAACAACATACTCTGAAAGGCAGTCGGCAATCTCGTCGTGATTGACAGCAGCCTCAATGATGAGCATAAGGCTACCAGAAAGCACAGAGGCGTAGCCGCTGTGCGAGGGGAAGATCGTGAACACGTTCTTGTGGGCTTCCAGTCCTCGGCAGAGGCCACGAAATCGACGAGCGAACTTGTTGGTATAATTAGTAAGGTGAGCATTACTGCGCAGTTTATCTGGCTATCGTACCAATCCTTCTTTGCTCCTCCATGTGTTTTCAAGATCACGAACGTAGTTGCACAAGTCATCGAATCCATGGGTGGCCATTCCCTGGATTGCCTCATTGGCTCTCGTCCGAGCCGCTTTGCGTTTCAATCCGAGTTTTGCTAATCGCGACGGTGGTTCTGGGATCTCGAACAATTTGCAGGTCTCAAGGAGTGCAAGTCTCTCCGTTTCGATAGTATGGAAGGCAAAATCGCTAATTCTATCAGCACCAGCGGATACACGAAAAGAAGACAAGCTTACTCTTTCTCGTCGTCTTTGTATAGCGCCCGTATCTGAGCCTCGAACATCTGCTTCTCTGCAGCGTCCTGCGCATGCTGTACGCTAATGGTCGCAAGCTCGAGGGTCGACTCCCCTGGCAGCTTGTTTGTAAATCGCCGCACCAACATTTGCCCTTCAAGATTCTCAGCCTCGATCCGATTAGAAACAGTTTCCGACGCCATCTGCTGACCTTGAGATTCGACTACGAATCTACGGAGATCAGGTCAGCTAGTTATGATGCAGACAGAAGATCCAAAGGCTTACTGAAGCCCTGCGCCTCACTTGCATCCTTGCAACCTTAACAAAGAGTCACACAATCTGCAATGGCCCGCGTGGCTTCACAGCTGAGAAGCAGTAGTACTCTGGATACCCATACACTGGTCACGACGTACGTGGCTCCATTGTTGAACAAGAGGTACAGATTAATATTATCGTGATACAAGCGCTGATCTGAGTCAGGTTGACGGGACCTCATGTAGCATCCGTTTCTTTGTCCTCGTTCACTGCCCGCGTCATGCATTCTCCCGTATAACTACGCATAACTATCTAAAATAGGCTGACCGGTTACGAGAACTAATTAGGGAAGCCTAAGCGGCGGTAGGTTCCTGATGGACCAACCTTGGCTCAACTGCGACCACGAAAATATTAGATTTAGATCGTTCAAGACACCGCGCTTCTCCTCTTGTGCATCATGGCGACGGCCAAACCCAGCTCGCTTCCTTCCAACGCCTGCCCTGAGCCACCAAGAAAGCCTTGCCCGGAATCTGTTCTCGTCGCAGTCGCTGGAGACGAGTCTATTGCTGACAACTATTCCAAAAACCCGAAGCACGACCGACCGAAATTTCCCAGCGGTGATACTACTGACGGTATCCAGCAATGCACCAGCCAATCCGAAGAAGTCATGGAAGCCTGCTCCGAAAACAACAGTGCTGGAGACGCGAAATCTCATGACGAGGAAGCCGAGGAGGTAACCGAGGAGCTAGGCGAAGAGGGTCACGAACAAGAATCTGATAACGATGTCATATTTGAAGCTCCCATGGATCATGTCAACAGAGCTATCCAGGCTGCCACCGAAGTTGGGAAGGAGAATGAACCGTGCTTCGACTTGTCGAAGGGTGTAATTCGGCACATCAGCGCAAGATTTGGAGATTCGGCCGTCTATGTCATTCCTTGGATAGCGTGTTACTCATGGGAGGTATGAAGATCGCATTTTCTATAAATCTCGTGTTGCACGCCTGACTCAGTATACCAGGTGGTCTTAGTCTTACTAAAGACGTATTACCGCAACGACCACGATGCATTGAACGACTTAAACTGGAACAACATCAATATTCTGAAGCTAGACCATGGCTTGATCTCCTCTGAAACGTGGGACTCAGTTGTCCAACACGGAATGCAGGTCGTATTCTCGGTGCACTCCTCTCTCGTCCCACAGCAGCCTCCACTGGATTACCGAGATCAGTTGCGGTATACTGTCACCTACTTGGAAGTCAGTCCAAAAGACAGGGATGGATGTTTCGTCGACGAGCGCACATATGACGCCCCAATGGAGGTAGAGACTATCCACGGTGATACAGCGATGCCCGCACTGGAAGAATTGAGGACCATCCAGACCCCACGTTACCGGGCAAATGAGAAGGACGCCGATGCGCAAGCGAGAGCTAAGCTGGGGCCTCTCGATCAAGTGAAAGAGATTAGCCTGAAGATCAATTCGTCATATCTACTGAACATACTCAAGTCGGTGATCGAATACGCGTCAGAATCTCCTCATGGAGAGGAGTTCGGTGTAGGTATGGGCGAATTCAACTACCCATTCAAGGATCTTTACCATCACATGGACGATCTGATAAGATACCGGGCTGGTGAGAGCTACTTACGTGCTCAGCACCCTGCAGCTTTCAACGAGAGGGCAGACTGTCACATTGACTTAATTCTTAACTATCTGAGCTTGCAGCGAGATATTCCCTTCGAGAAATATGCCTCTGCCCGCCGCGAAAAGGTGTCAGTCACCACTTTCGCATCATGCTGGTTACTCCTAAAACCGGGCACTGATGTGTATGTGCGTGAAGAAGATGGACTTATGAACGCGTATATCGTGCATGCAGTCAGCGGAGGCGTCACCCAGGTCGATGGAAAAGCGATCAATCGCGACTACGAAGTATCCGTATGGAACCTGGCGTGTGATGGAACACACGCATTTCCCGAGGTTCGACATGTACGTGTTGCAGTTTTCGACAACGAGAGGGAGGCGAAAAGTCTGCCCGTATTTCCCGTTGAGTACAACGACAACTTCGACGACGGTAAACTCAAGCAGGAGTTGACAGAACGAGGCAAGAGGTATCTCAAATACACGAGCCAACCAAGCTTCTTGCAGGACTCTGGCCGGGGCTTAGCAAAGGGTGTAGAGGTAACTACATCATAACGCCTACGATATAAACAACTGACTGTATGCAGTACAAACGAGCACGTGTTGTTGTTGCACACGGGAAGACGCCCTGGATTTCTTGCGACTTGAGCGATGCCCACCATCGACCGATGAATTTCACAACCTACATAAAAGCATCTATTCGCGTGGCAAGCTGCGAATGCCACCAATGTGAAGAGTTGAAGACATCGCAAGAGACTCACGACAAGGAACGATTCAGCGATTATTATATGATTCAGCCAAAGAGCCCTGATCTGATCTCTGACCATCAATACATGCTCATGGCATCGCATGTTTATGCCTTCATGCTGAAAGAGCGCACTTATGGTATGCTCGCCATCTTTGTCGCCCTAAAGTTGCTTACTGTACACTAGACTTGCTAGCTGTCGAAGGCTTGGAAGAGCCTGAGCTGGTCGAAACAGCGATCGACAGACTGGTCATAGATCACAACAACAAAGAGTTGATCAAGGCCATGGCCCAGGTCTATACAGATAGCGACCCTGATCGGTTCAGTGGGGACTTCATACGTGGAAAAGGCGAGGGGCAGATCATACTTTTGCACGGGCCTCCTGGAACTGGCAAAACGCTCACAGCTGGTGTGTTTCCGTATCATGTTGTCGGTTTACAATGACTAAAGTGTCCCAGAAACTGTTGCAGAGTATACGAGACGACCGCTCCTTAGCATCACTGCAGCTGACTTGGGCCATGAGCCTGAAGCGTTGGAAAGGAGTCTTCTCCGCTTCTTCAAAGATGCTAGTGACTGGGGCGCTATAGTGCTACTGGACGAAGCAGACGTGTATCTCGAGCAGCGAACGATACACGACCTGAAGCGGAACAGCATCGTATCAGGCAAGCTTTTCACCTCTGTGTCTGCTGACAGTTGCTAATTGTCATTACAGTATTTCTCAGAGCTCTCGATTATTTTGAGGGCATATTTTTCTTGACGACGAATCGTGTCGGTCAATTCGACGAGGCCTTTATGTCGCGCATCCATCTCTCACTCGGGTACGACAAGCTAACGAACGACTCGCGTGGCAAGATATGGGACAATATGTTCAGGAAGCTCCGCGATGATCACGAGCGTGGCGGACGAGAAATACTCTATGAGTATGACGCGAAGAGCTATGTCAAGAGCAGAGAGGTACAGGAGCTAGAGTGGAACGGACGAGAAATTCGAAATGGTGAGTCGCTTGATGTGTATACTGAAACGTGTGACTGACGAGTAGTACCGTAGCCTTCCAAACCGCCGTCGCCCTAGCGGTCTTTGAAGCCAAGAAGGACAAGAATGGCAAGCCACCCAAGGTGACTGAGGGCCGCCTCAGACAAGTCGTGCAGATGTCTTCGGCTTTCCGAAAATACATGACTGCTGCGCATAACGGTATGGACGAATCGACATGGGCTTTCAGACATGGGAATCGCGAGGACAAGTTTCCAAGCACACCAGCAAAGACTGCGACTTGAATCTGGGTAGCGCCAAAGTACTTCTCCCATGCTTTTTAGTCATCATTATCTACTCTCACGGCTTCTCAAATGGAACGGAATCCCTTCATTTAGTTTGAATTCAAGGCAAGCTCAAGACCAACTCGTCGCACGTGTCAATCACCGAGAAGCAGTACATGACTTAGTTCCGTCATACTTTGATCGCATGCTATTCTCCAAGAACTCTTTTAGATACGCACTAGCTGCAAATCGCAGCGCAAACAACATACCCATAGATCGAATTTGTTTTGATAATGTGATTTCGAGATGTAGTTGAAGAGACAAGATGCGCACACCCAAAAGGTATCTATACCCTTGCATGGCTGGAAATTGTGAGGTAGATCATCGCATCTCTTTCGTACACCACTCATGCTATTTTTCGAGCACGCATTTCTGTCATAGTTGGTTCTTCTGGTTGCAAGACCACAGCACACTCATCACACCAAACACTTTAGCTTTCGGTTTTGGATAATGCGTGATATACATCGGATCTTTTTGCGACTGTGCTCAACATCTCGAAACATAGTACTTTAGCTCGTCCGTTTTGGGTTTTCTGAAAGAGGAAGCAAAACTTTCACACATAGAAACTTTTCGTTACTATTTGAAAGTGTAGTTCTCGATGTTGGAGAAAGAGTGACGGGTGGGCCAGGAAGGCGGAACGGACGGTCTTTATACACATTGTCTCCACTTCGACATGGCCACTTATCGGCTACGTTTTGATACTGTTGCACGACGACACACATGGACCCTGAAGGTTTTTGTTTTGGTAGTTCCGCAAACATCATCTTTTCAAAAAGCTCTTTTGGAGTCTCGAGACATGTATGGGAGTTCCTGTATTTTGAAGACATCGAAAGCACAAGCCAGACTCGCGCGCATGGAAGTACTTTTGGAGTCTTTTGGAAGCACAAACATTGAAGTTGTGGTAGAAGTACAGAGCTTGAAGGCAGCGACGGAGCAGATATTTATACTCGCGTCAGAGCTCCGATGTTCGGCATTCTTTTGGACTTGAGACAGAAGGCGAGAACATGTGCAATTCTCCACCCATTTTTGGTAAGCGATGTGATGGCCATGAGGGATAGCAGATGTGCGTAAATCAGGGAAGGAAGCCCGAAAATGTCCGAAGAATATATATGTGCGAGCTGTCGATTGATCGTGTAGCTGTGAGTATGTCGGAGGATAGTCCTGTTTCCGTCGAGACATCGAAGATGCGAACCATTTTTCCAAAATTGTCTAAAGCCGGCTTTCAGAATGCCACAAGAACATGCGCGATGTGTTTCAGCATTTAGATTTTGAGAGACAAGGTCATGGGTCGAATATGAAAGTCATTTGGAATGCTCTTTTTGTGAAGGTGGGAATGAAGAAGGGTTGTGGGTGGTTCGACGAGCAATTTATAGACCCAAGGACAAGAGGTTCAAAGACCGGCCATGCCAAAATCCACGAAAAAGTTTATCATGATGATACAAAAATCTGATTTAAAATATACATCAGTTCGACAGCACCTCAACGATGTTATCCCAGAAACCCAAATCGTACACATTCTCCACCGCCGCCAGATTCCACACGCGCTCGAAGCTATCCTCTCTAGCCACTGACTGTATGCGGCTCGGAAGTGTTTTGGGTGGTTGACCATTTCGCGTGCGGATGAGAATGTGTCTGCTTTCCAGCGGCCATGTTGTTGGCGGCTCTTCGTCTTCTGGCGGGGTTTCCGGAGGAGTCGGGAAGGGCGATGTTGACGAAGAAGAATGTGCGGAGGCATGTGTATCTTCCCGTGCAAGCGTCGCTGAGCGGTATTCTTGCATGGTATCCTCCCGCCTATGGCCCAGGAAAACGACGCCATCGGCCATGTCGTCCCGCCAGTCCGCCCACTTGGCGCTCTCGTTCGTAGTCATGCCGGCCCAGATCAGGTAGACGTGGTATGCGAGCAGACCCAACGGAAGCGGCCATGTGAGTAGAGCTAGCAGTCCGACTCCAGATCCGCGCACACCGCCCATGTCGAGGTAGATGGTTGTGTAGATAAGGAAGTAGTGAGTCTTCCGGTCAAAGTACCCGAACCAGCTCTTTGTGTTTACGCCTTGCTTAGGGCTGTATCTATACCATCCTTCGTACTTTAGGTAGTGTTTATTAACCAACGGCGAAAGGCTGTAGTAAGCCAGGTATGCGCCGTACGCGATCAGTATGCCGGTGGATAGTAACAAGGCTAGGAACCACTTGTAGTTGCCCCGCCCCAGGCAGTTATTGACCCATATGCAATGATGGTCCATCCTCGACACGCATGTCTTGCATATACTGCAATGTTTACTCCGCGCCGGCTTCAGGAACTTGCACGTCCGGCACGGCGTGCCTGGATAGTACAGCACCCTGTCGTACGGGTAGTGTCGCATCTGCTCGGCATGATTAAGCGTGGTGATGTATGTCTGGCTGTTGCTTTTCGCGCTGAGATATAGGAAGATGTACGGCTGCGGCAGCAGAGCGAAGGCTAGGAGCTTGTGATGCGGTCGGATGAGGTGCCAAACGGTGGGCAGGAACAGCGTCGCGCATGCGGTCACGAGGCCGAGGAAGAAGATGACGACCAGCGGGTGCTTGTCGTGCATGAGGTAGTTGCCCAGGCGGGCGCCGCCATTGGTAATGCGGCCATTGGTGAGGGCAAGATCGAGCTTTCGGAATGCGGAAGGGATGTGGATGAGGAAGAGGCGGTTGAGGAAGCCTATGGGCGTGTTTCTAGGATTGTTAGAATAAATGATGCGAGGAGGAGGAGCGTAGATACCTAAAAGCCGGCAGTCGTCCGAAGAAAGCTACAAATGTCACCAGCGACACTGTGATGGTGAAGATGATGATTGTGCGGGCGACGGTCATGGTGAAAGAGACCTAGAGGCTGCGATACTAGGCATGGCGGAATAGAATGAAGACGCGAATCGAAGCTCTATGGCATCACGTCGCGCTCTGTCTGTCATTCCACAGAGGTGACAGCGCAAGCGTCGGATAGGGCTGAGCAGCCGCGGAGGCTAAGCGACCCCGCGTGAATCATGCGACCCATGTGAGCACGCGTCGCGCCTGAGCCAACGCGTCATTCACCACCACCATAACCCGACAACACCACCCCACCATGGCTGGGCCGACCGTATACACCGATGTCGCGGAAGACTTTGATTTCGCATCCGGCGGCCAATTATTCGCTGGCAAGAAGTTCTGGGTCGCGCAGCGCGTAGCATCGCGGAAACGGCTACTGGACGACATCAAGGCCAACGGCGGAGAGATCGTGGCATTAGAGAAGAAAGCGGACTACCTAATTGTGGACCACGCTCGGAGAGACTGTCCTCCCGGATCAACATCCTACGAGTTCATAGAAAAGTCCATCAAGGAGGGAGAACTCCAAGATCCCGAAGATTACACAGCCGGACCACCGTTAGGTGAGGCGCGAGAGGCTGGTTCCATTCATCAACCCACCAAGAGCGGAAGGACATCGTACACAGCAGAAGAAGATAGGATACTTTCCAAATGGGTGCGCGACGCCCAATCAAAAGGTGCTTCCATCAGTGGGAACGAGCTGTACAAGCAGCTCGAAGCCAAGGTATGCGCCAACAAAGAAAACCCGCGTGGGAGTGGTCGCTAACGAACGACAGTACCCACGGCATACATGGCAGTCATGGCGCGACCGATGGGTTAAGACACTTAGCAAACGTCCGCTCTCGGCCTTCACGATACCTGATAACGCTCCTCCGTCTCCTCCCTCCGATCAGTCGAACGAACGTATGCCCCCAGTTCCAGCCCCCTCCAAGCCTACAGAACAGCAAACACCTAAAACAGAACAGGCTCCGAGTGCGACCAATCTCGATAACAAGGGCAAAGCAAAAGCAAACCGCGACTATAGTGTGGAAGAGTTAGAAGTTATGTTCAGCACAGACGACTGGCTGGAGTGCTATGCTTTCGTAGCAATCATCGATGGCGTGGAAGGACAAGACGACTGGATCTCAGCTTGGGATGGGTGGGCTGAGAATCAGGGGAACCAAACTGCCGAGCAGTGGCGGCAGTATTACGAGAAGGTAGTCCGTCCACAGTGGTTACGCGATCCGGTATCGAAAAGGGAGAAGATCAGGAAGAAGATGGAACAGAAGCACGATGCCGCAAAGGCAAGTCAGAGTCAGGCGCTCAGTCAGCAGCCTGCAGAGATCGAGAAACCAAACGAAACACTGCCACAACCTCCTCCAGCAACACGGGATGAAGTGGAGGCAGTACAGCCGTCAGCCTCCGAAGGAGCGCACTCTGAGGAAGTGCTGCAAAACCGAAACCCACCCAAAATCGCATCAGAGCCTAAGATGCCGTCATCATCCACCGCTCGCCAAGAATCTCCGAACTTTTATGATGAACAGCTTGCCAGGTACACTAAGCGATTACGGGAAGACAACTTTGTGAAGCAAGAAGATGAGGAAGAAACAGCTCCTCCCACCAAACGTCGGAAGAGCGGAAGCGCGACGCCTACCCAGGAAGAGCCAATGCAACCGATCAAAGCCGAGGGCACGCAGAACCAGCCTGTGGAGATATCTTCTGCTGCGAGTTCCCAGACTACTTCGACGTCAGAAGATGCCGAGGAGCTGATACAAGAGCAAATCCGGTCTCAAGAGCTCGATGCAGTGGATGAAGATGCTACCATCGTCAACATAGACGAAGATCTAAAGGAAGAAGAGGTGGGAAGCATAGAGTCAGATGAGTTTCCTGACATCGACGAGCTACACCCACTCTCACCACCGCCAGACCAAGACTCGATATCTTGCGATGATCTGCCATCAAATACACCTACACCGCGTGCCACCCGACAAAAGGTTTCTAATTTCGACACTCAAGCCATCTTATCGTCGCCGACACAAGACACGTTCTCAAGACCACAAGACTTCGTCCCCAACATGAACCCTCGCCAACCGCAGCGGTTCTCATCACCACCCGAACAACCACCATCCGACGCGTCGACGACCCAATCCATGGAAGAG